TGACTCATCAGTCATGTTATTTCCATTTAAGAAATATAGCCAAACTCAGACCTGTGATGTCACAAAATGAAATGGAGATGTTAATACATGCTTTTATCTCGGCACATTTAGATTATTGTAATTCCCGTTTAACCTTTCTGACCAAATCTTCCCTACAGCGCCTACAAAGTGTCCAGAATGCTGCTGCCAGGCTTTTAACAAAATCACACAGATGGTCACATATAACACCTATTTTAACATCCCTGCGTGGGCTTCCTGTTAATCTTAGAATCCATTTTAAAATTTTAGTGATCAGTTTTAGAGCTTTACACGGCCAGGCCCCAGAATATATCACAGATCTCCTTTACCCCACGAGCTCTAAGGTCTTCCACCCTGGGTCTTCTAAGAACACCACGTACACGCTGTAAGACCTGGGGTGACTTCCAGTTGACAGCTCCCAAGCTCTGTAATAGTCTCCAACCAAATCTGAGATCCTTGGACTCTGTGGACTCTTTTAAAAAGGAACTGAAAACCATTTGTTCAGACAGGCTTTATTTTATGCTTTTAGCCAGTGTCCTACATGTGTTTCTCCTCTTGTATATGTTTACCTGGTGTTTTTATTTGATGTAATTGATTGTAATTCTTTCATTTGATTTTATTAACTTTGATTGTGAAGCACTTTGTGATTAGTGTCTGGGGAAAGTGCTATACAAATAAACTTTTCTTGCTTGCTTGCTTACTGTGAACTCTGTTGCTCTTTATACTATTTCACCTGACTGCATTTTTAATAAGCTCCTGATGGTGGCAGATGCTTTGAACGTCACCCAGCATATGGCATTTTTAAATGGTGCAATGCAACAATTTGCCTTATCTTGTACGCTGATTTTAATGCTGCAAAAAACAAGACTGATAGGGCATCATTGTACATATGTGTAAATAGCCAAATACCTGCCGTGTAGCTATTTTCACCAGGTGCAAATAGACTCTGTTTAATAACTTACAATGGTTTGACCTTTGTATTCTACTTTACTCCCTGCTTCTTTGTTCTATTTGTGGTGTCAAAATATCTGACATCCTTTTACAAATTCTCTTGCACCAAATTAATTGTACCAGTTGTGTAAAACCTAAACTTTCTGTTGATGGGACTGTGGCTTTGTCAGACACAATAACACTGCTGTTGTGGTCATGGAAAGATCCCCTTTGTGTTCCAAACAAACTGGAAATGTAAAACACGTCACTTCCTTTTTCCAGTAAATGCCTACCAGTAAGCAGGTGTTACAACATAAAATTCAGCCATGCAGGGACTGATAGTGGAGTAAAACTTTGCATGATAACGGTTCCTGCCTCAGCTCTTTGAGCTACTCCCACCTCATGGACCATATCTCCACTCCCAAAAGGTTTTACTAGGGAGAGTGTGTTACTGGGCAATGGCCCAGTGGAGATCTGCGGGTTTATCCTCAGTGACAGGTTTCACACGCAGCTTGTGGGCCAAACCCACAAATAACAGCCAGGCGTCTTGTTTGCCATCATTCTGGGGCCTGTTTCAGATTACTTACTGGCTCTTTGAAGTTGGCTGACGGACGGGCAGGGTTTTCCCCTGCATCTCTGCCAGAAAAAGATTGGGTCATCAACAGCTCTGCCACCCACCACATATCTTGAATGACCTCTGAATAAGACGTGTGCTTACTTAGGCATCTGATCAGAGAGCTGTCGGGAGGCTGTAACAAAAGGTCCAGTGTGAGGTATTTCCTGATTTCACAGCAAAGGCCTTGCTGAAATACAAACCTCAGTATGTTGTTTTTAGGGAAACTGCTGTTACCCTGAACCACTGTTCCATCAAAGGCCACGACTTAGAAGTTGTAACACGCTTTAAGTAAGTGGACACAGTCATTGACACTGAACTTTAAGCACAGTGGATACAACTTGTTTCATTATTACAAGTTACTGATGGTCCTGTTTATGTCTTTGATTTCATTCACTTCTTTTTTAAAAAGCAAAAGTTTGTTTTTGTAACCTGTCAATTACAAGCATTTTCCTTCTATTAATCATGTCAAATATAGTGTGATATGATAATATAAAACTTAAAAATTGCATTATAACCTATGATACGACCCATAGAAGTGTCTCCTGAAGTAGCGCCCCTACGTTGCCATGCATACTGAACCAATCTTTCTCCCTATAACGGTCATGGCTTGGTTAGGTTTAGGAGAAGATGGTGACTTGGGTTAAAATAAGTGCTTCTTCAACATTACACGGTCTCTGTTGTCATGGTTACAATATACACAGCTAGTTTCACATGGGAATCAAACAACGCTCTCTTGTGTCATATTCCTTTGTTTTGTTGACCCATCCATCCACCACAACTTTGTCTGTCTTTATACCACGTCACCACACCTTTCCCTTTGCTCCTGTCATAATTACTATGGCCAATAGATGTTGCCTAGCAACAAAACCTAACTATTATGGGTCATAATAACCTGCTGCACCTCACCAGCGACTGACCCGGGTATCTCTACTCTCTCTTAGTATCAAAGAGCAGTGGACAAAACATTCAGACAGGGACAGACTGGAATAACACTTCATAAATCTAACATCAGCCCAGTCAATCTCCACACTTTTGGACCACATATACTGAAGCCATTTCCTTGAAATATCTTGTCCATTTACCTTTCATGCCAGTAACATTTTATCACTAGTTTCAACCGTTTCAAAAGAACATCCAAAATAGCTAAAAGAAAAGTTTCAAGTCCTCAGTTTCAAGAGTTAGTCAGTAGAAGTTCCATAACTCAGGCTGCTGGAATCTCTCCATCATATTTGAGCACTTCTGAAGTGTTTGTTTTTTCCTCAGAGCTCTGACTGGACTTGTGTTGACTATCATGAAGCTCTGAGAACCTGGAGCTACTTCCGCCCGATAGGAAAAAGTAAATAGCTCTTTATTTTCAGTATTACTTCCATACACACACACTTCCTCCTGGCTTCCTACAGAGCATGATTAAGTGTTGATGTCATTCATTAACTTCATATGACTCACTGAGTGTGGCCCTATTTTACAAACAGTAGTCATGTCCCACGCACATAAACATACAATATCTATCATTTTGCTGCACTTTCTTTCAGGGATTTCCTCCTTTGATATGTTTCCTCTCAGCTCTTCTTTTGTCCTTCGTTCTCCTTCACTGGTCATTTTTCTCCATACTGTTCAGCCACATGCACCACACACACACACTGACTGAACACTGTGTTGATGTGTGATGTTACAGGGATGAGGGTCTACAGCTCTGGGAGACTGTAGCTGCAACGTGTTGTTTTCTCTTTGTATAGGTAAGTGGGACAGATCAGTGTCATAAGAATCATTCTCATAGATGATTAACCTTTCATTTTGAAACTTTATGTAATCATTAATAATAAAGAAACATAGTAAGCAAACTTATTATATATATTTTCTCCTGTGTTTTATTTGAAGTGTTGATCCATAAGAAGATATAGTTGTAGTTTTCAGAACCAAAAACCATCTCAATGTGGTTTTACATCTCCTCTCTCAGACTTCTCTCTGGAGCTCTAGCAACAACAGTTCAGTGAGCCAACCAGAAGAGAGGAGGCTCTGAGCCTCTCTTCTGATTGGCTGACTGTTTTGTGTGTGATCCAATAAAAATACAATAGATTTCAGGTAAACACTCAGAGAAAACAAATCCTGCAAGGTTGGATGGTAGATCCAGGTCAGTGGGGCTTGGGGAGTGGCTGAGAGCAGTGACTGCTTTATTGTGACATCACAAAGTTCAGGAGGTCCTGGCGGCTGGTTTTAAGGCTCAGTCTCTGAATACAGGCTGTGTGCATTTCTCTGTGGACTGAGCACTTTGATACTTTCACAGTATTAATACAGAACCTGGACCTGCTTTATAATTAAACAACACATGGACATCAATCTTTATACTGTATGAGACCTTTAAGAATTTTTAGTCAAATGAATATTTGCAAGGTCAACAATGAACCCACAATGAACATTAGTTAACTCAAAGGGGTCTTTGTATGTAAACTCAATCATGTCACAGTAATGATGTGACACGGTTACAGTGTTTCTGTGGTTAAATACAGCATGAATGTATGAGCTTAGGTTTAGCAGTGAAATACAGATTTCCTTGAACTTCAATTTTAGTAATTGATTTTGTTTTATGAAAGCAAGATGGCTTGAATGTCTTTTTTCTCACTTTATAGTTTCATGTGATTTCATATGGAGCTCCACCTCCTCCTGTTGACATAGCCCGATTTTTGCACATAACGGGTGGCGCACATGTATCCTGAAACCTGCCACCCTCACTCACGGAAAGTTTTTACTGGGACGTTCCTGCGCTGTCATGGACCATTGAGCAATAAAAAACGTGTAACCGAACCCATGAGCCTAATCCAGCCGGGACAATCGCTGGCAGAGGCTGCACCTGCACACAGCTGAATCCCTGCGGACTGCCCCCAGGCAGGGCCGCACGGGAGGAGAAACCACATCAGTGGACCTGATCAAACTCCAGGGCGCTGGAATGATGTGGGAATCACATCCAGATCTGTGGACTGTTGCGTTGTCAGATTTCATTGATGGTTCAGTTGCGGTGATCATCAATGAAGTGTGTTAAGTTTGTAATTGGTTGAGGGTTAGTGTGTTGCCAATAAAGCTGGATTTTCACCCAAATAGGCTAGTTCAGAACAGCCTCATCAGCCTGTGTGGAAACTTGCGGCAGCACATAAAGTGCAACACCAGGGAAACTCCACCCACCTCTGAGTCCATAAGTGTCAAGGAGCAAATCAGCTTGGACACAAGCTGAGAGGCACCGGAGCGCACTGGACTGTTGTCAGGATTTTTCTAAGACAAAATATTCAGAGAAAAAGCAAAACAGTGTTAAAGTTGCTACATTTAATGCGTTTCAGTGACTTTAAAAATATGAGGAGACGTTTATTCCGCATTTATCAACGTGGCGTCAAAATTTAACCTGACTACAGTCGTGCGTAAAAGTTTCTTTTTTCCATTGGAGACCATGCGCAGTTTCTCGGAGCCGTGCGTCCCGACCGAGGCACCACAAGCCTTTCCAACAAGAGTCGGAGATGCGGCCCTTCGAGGGACTGTCCTGGCCGGACCCCCGCTGTTCCCAGCCATGGCTTTATCCTCCCGAGGGTCAGCGGATCCCAGTTTGGATACGATGATTCACACGTCTCCGCCCGGGCATTCTGCGATGCTGTGTCGGCCTCCCGAAATTCTGGAGGGAGGGGAGATGGCAGATGATGAGCCGAAAGTTTATCTGGAAGCCAGCGACCTTTGGAGACAGTTCCACAAATGCGGCACTGAAATGGTCATTACAAAATCTGGGAGGTACAGTACATGTCTAATAATTACGCAGGGATGTAATTCTACCGTCTCCTGATGAATGCATGCTGCTTCACGCCTTTATCTCTTCACCCTGCAGGCGCATGTTCCCGCCGCTCAAGGCCCGGTGCATCGGGATGGATAGAAAAGCCAAATATATTCTTCTGATGGACATAGTGGCGGCTGATGACTGCAGATACAAGTTTCATAACTCCCGCTGGATAGTGGCGGGAAAGGCGGACCCCGAGATGCCCAAGCGCATGTACATCCACCCGGACAGTCCGGCCACGGGCGAGCAGTGGATGTCCAAAGTGGTCAACTTCCACAAACTTAAACTGACCAACAACATTTCTGACAAACATGGATTTGTAAGTTTGGATTTAGATTTTGTTTCTTTGTTTTTTTGTTTTATAATAACCAAGGTAATTTCAAGGGAATCTGTTTAAGGCACAATGACACGTTTATGGCCTTTTTTGTGACGTTTAATCTTTTCAAACAAATACATAACAATAACCCATTTTAAATGTAATATTATGTAAATATATATTTTCGTTCTTGGTAGATCTTTCTCGTTCCTGTTGAAATTCTTTTGTGTCATAAACATTTTCATCTCATCATGAAATTAGTTTTTCCAAACGCTTTTCTCAAAAACTGGTTTCAAACGTCATCGTTGTTTTTTTTTGTTTTTGTTTTTTTGTTGTTTTTTTATTTGCAGACAATTCTCAACTCGATGCACAAATACCAGCCCAGATTTCATATCGTGAAGGTAAATGACATCCTCAAACTGCCCTACAGCACCTTCAGAACATACGTCTTCTCCGAGACTGAGTTCATCGCAGTAACAGCTTATCAGAACGATAAGGTAAGAGCTGGCGTAACCTCGGGTTGACTTGACTGTCTGTACGAAAAGGAGCTCAACTTTCAAAATAAAAGAAGAAAAATCTCATCGATCATTTACTACAACACAAGACATAAATATATTTCGTCTCTATCTCGCTTTATATTTTTCAGATCACACAGCTGAAAATAGATAACAATCCTTTCGCTAAGGGATTCCGAGACATCGGCAACGGAAGAAGAGAGAAGAGGCAAGTTAATGTTTCAGTTATAAATTCATGTAATTACATAATAACAACAACAACAATAATAATAATAATAATAATAATAATAATAATAACGTTATTATTATTATTATTCAGTATTCAGGATTTGATGACTAGTGGAAATAATTTTAGTACTTTAATCGATTACAATGCAATTGCAATGTTTAGTTTCTTATAAGTTCATCATATGTTTTGAATGTAAATCTTAATCTGAAAAGTATCCATTAGAGTTAAGCAGCTACAAAGTCATGTCAAAGAGTTTAGCATCAGTCCACAGTCAGACAAACTGTCTTTAAGTGGAGATGATTTGGTTCTGTGTATACTCTCCCTACGGGTGTCCAGCTAAGATGACTCCACAGGCACAATGCAGAATATTCAGTGAGTAAAAAAGAGTAACAGCTAAAGGCTCAAAGGAGTCATTAACATCTCTGTTCATGAGTCTACCACACACAGAGCAGGGTTGCATGGAGCATGTTGCATGGCATCGTGCATGGAACACACACATGGGAAAATTTTTTTGTGGAGGAATGACACTAAGGTTGAGTAGTGAAGTGGGGTGGAGGGAGCATCATGATTTATTGCTTTATTTACAGCTCGGCATGATCGAGAAGAAAATGAATTCCCAAGTTTATCAGGGTCTCTGGAAGAATAATGTCAGCGTGGCTGTGATGCATCAAAGTAAATCTACTACAGAATGATTTCAAACAAAGTCAATACACCTTCTGGAGTGGTCCAATCAGAGCCCAGTAACCCAGTAGAGCTGCTGTGGACTGAGCTGAGGAGAGCCGCTCACACCAGACATCCTGAGAACACGTCTGAGCTGAAGCAGCTCTGTAGGATCAGCAGCTACTGGAAGAGCTTGTTTTGGGTCATTGGTGCTAAAGGAGATTCAATATTAAATCCAAGGGTTCACTTACTCCTTCCACCAGCACTGTACGAATAGCTGAAGATCAGATCACATGATAAGACCAATCAATACTGGAAACCATTCCAAAGGTGTCTCGCCACTATTTATTCTTTTTAAATTGGATGTGGTCTTAAGGAGGGCTCCTCAGACATTTGTATTCTGTAGAGTGTCTAAATAATTTATGTTTGTCATATTTATAAATTAAGTTCAATATTAATAATAATTAACAGTAATGTTAATAATAACAATAATAATGAGCCTATATTTGTAGTGTAGACTTTCACCAACTTGCTAAAATGATCAAATGCCCAGAAAAGAAAATAAAGAAATACAGAGAATAAGGAAATGTTGTTATGATAATGTTATTGTCAGTGAATCAGCTGATAAACAGTTACATTATTTGGTCTATAATAAACCAGAGAAAGGTAAAATGCCCACTGCCGTTTCCTAAACCCTACGGTGACAGAGAGTCCAAGTACAAGAGTCCAAACCCCCAAAAGAAAATCTGTTTAAAATCATAGAAAACAGGGGAAAGCAGCAAATCCTCACATTGGAGGAGCTGTGATCTCAGTGTTTGGGCTTCAACGCTGGGAAAGAAGATTTCAACTCTTTCAACCATAAAAAAAAAACTTTCCAGAGCAGCAGCAGCTTTCCTGGTGAGATGGAGCAGAAGTGACACATAGCGAGAATCAATGTCTGAGCCGGTAAAAACACGTTGTTACTGGTGTGTTCACGTCAGTTTCACTGTAGTCGTTGATTGTTTTATCATATAAATGATCGATCATTTCTTTTGCTGTCTTTTGTAAAATCAGGAAACTACAACATTCATCACAAAAATGTAAAGAGATGCGGCTGATTGACATGAAACCTGAACCTCTTCAAGATTCATCCCCACAATATTCAGACAATCTCAAGTCCTCAGGTGCAGGTTTTTTTTACCGTCACTGCTTCAACATGTATAATATTAATTTGATCAATTCTGTGAGTCCAAGAGTCCAAACTTTTTTATTTGCCTTTTGTTTCAAGATGCCCATGAAAGTGACAGCGACAGAAACGAGAATGTAGAGGACAATGCTGGAGAGGAGGAGCGCAGAACGACAAGAGACACGAAACCTGGATCAAAGGTTCCCACCGCAGACAGAACAGTACAGACTCCAGCTGGGACGCAGAGAGAAACGGATCCAAGACAAAGTCACGTCGTCAGTATCATAAGTGATGGAGCGGGTCGCTCCAACCCGCAAGACTCAGAGCAGGAACAAATGTGCAAATTACGCAGCGGTTTTGCACACAGCCGTGTTTATCCACCGGAATTGAACGCGCATCTGTGGGATCCGAGTGTCCCCAGCGGCCTTCTCCACTCTGCTCAGGTGAACACCTGGAACAGCTGTGCCACCGTGGACAGAGCAGCGTCGTGTGGACTGAGCCTGGCAGCACCTGTCAGGACTCCAGGAACCCCAGGGTTTCCCATCAGCCTTCAGCAGCAGGCGCTGGTACAGGTAAACACAGGGCTAATGAACTCGTGAAACACTATAATTAAAACTCATTAAATACTTGTAGTACACATTCATTTCATTACAAGTTCTGACTCACTGAGAAATCTGTTGTAAGCAATAGAGGAAGAAGTATTCGGATCCTTATCTTAGTACAAAAATACTTTAATGTAAGCGAGAGTCCTGCATTCAGCAAGTCTTAGCTATCACTAAAATGTAGCCTACTTAAAGTATCAAAAGTTACATTGTGCATTAGAGCATGCCCCCCGTCAGTATTTCATTATTATATATAAGAATTTATTATTATAATTTACAATATCTGTTTATTATGATGACTGAAACAGGGTTTTAATGTTTTGGCTGATCAAAATGAGGGTAATTCTCATTCTTAACTCATCATTAACTTTTGTAAACACATCATTGTTTTTAATGTATTATATTTATTTGCCAAGTAACTGGAATTAGTAAAAAAAAATAGTAAAAAGTACAAACTTTGCCTCAGATATGTAGTGAAGAAGTATGATGTAGGCTATAAAAAGAAAATGTTCAATTAAATTACAAGCTGAGCTGAGCGTTGAATGCACTAATGGGGGACCAAATCCTCAGTCCTCATTCTGATATTAAACAGGTTATTCTCACTTGATTTTGTCTACCTCAGTCTGCCGAAGCCTCATAATAACTTTAGTTCAACTTTATTTATTACATATATATATATATATTTGTATAGAGCGTGGACTGTGGACTTTTTCCCTCATCACTTATATTGAAAGCACATTATTCTTAAAATGGCTGTGTTAACAGGATGAACCATTAAAACCAGCTGCAACTGTTTCACTGTTCATATGAACACCTGACTATTTTTTCAAGACTTGAAAAATTGTGAAACGATCCCTTAATGCGTAAAAAGCATTTTAATATTGTAGCGGGTTGATGTGGACTTAACCATTAAATATTTTATTAACTCATTCTCATTTTGTATTCTGTTATTTTAATTTGCAAACTAATTACAAATGTTAAATAAATGCAGTCAAATAAAAGTATAATAATTCCGGTAAACACTTTATAACAGCCCACGATTTACAGTGTAACTGTGTTGTGTGAATCAGCTGCTAATAAAATACTCACACAGAGAAACAGTGGAAGAAAGCATGACGACGGAGACGGGACGGCAACAACAAGCAGGCGTTTTAGAGGAAAGGAGGAATGAATTATTCCATAAGTATTTTTGTAAATACTATGTACCTAAAGGGCACAGTCCTGGCAAACAACATTGTTCTTATTAAAGAGGAAAAATAGGAGAACCGCCACACATTATATTACAGCCACATTATATACTGTTTTTTTTTCTGTGTAATCTAAATACAAGTTAGTGTACAATTTAAAATACAGTTTAAAAGGGGGGGAGCTCAAGAGCACCCACACTACAGGGATTTATTATCATGTAGACTACTTCACTGTATGATTTAAATTAAAGAAATGAGACGGCACTTTTAAAAATTTACTGTGAATGGGAATGTTCATCCAGCACTGCAGCAGCTGATAACAGGTACGCTGGAGTAGAAAGGAAACGTACCTTTGTCAAATGAACAGCTTTCAAAAGTTTCTAAAGTCAGCAGAGCAGGAAAAATAACAGAATAAAGTAATGCAACTGCAGTGTAAATGACTGGCTGTATTATGAAAAGTAACCGTTTGTTTTTATTTAACCTGTAAAAAAAAATATCTTGGGCATTTACATATGATGATGTTTTGCTGATTTTATTGTTTTTGAATATTGATGCAAAAAAAAAAAAAATATTATCAATGAAGTGTTGTGTGGGAATATCTATATCAATATTATGCGCCTGTTAGTGTGATTGGACCTAAACTATTTTCATTAATTATATATTGTGTGTATTTTCTTCTTATTAACAGGACCTGATGACCTTTTCACACTTTGGAGGCTTCCTGTTTTATCCCTACGCCAGCCTCTCAGTGCGCTCCAAAGTGGATTTCAGAGCCTATCCAAGCGTCCACAGCCGGGACTACTTCACCTCCCCAATAATATCTTCATGTGTTCCTCCTGGTGGTGGGTTGAAATATCTTGTCCCTGATTTGCTAATGCTACCCAAAACAGAGCAGATGAACTCGGTGGACGAAGCTGAAATGGACTGCAGTCACGACGAGACACAAACAGGGACAGAATTCTGACTCGCAACACTCACACCTGCAGACTTGAACGGCTGTTTCGAAAGGAAAATTTTGGGTTATCGTGCATATTGGTCTCATATAAGTCTGATAAATCTGCATTATAATGAATACATGACTTCAGATTGAACCACTGTGGTGTAAAGGGCATTTTATTTCAACAAGATGTAACTTTGTTTATAAAAATCATATTAAAGGACCAGTGTGTAGGATTCTGGTAGCTCTATTGGCAGAATCTAAGAACTGCCCTTCATATCTACATAGGGAGCAGGTTGTCTTCCACAGAGCCCAGCATGTTACACCGCCATGTTTCTATACAGTAGATAAACCAAATACTGGCCCTAGAGAGCGCCGCCGCCCGTTTACATGACCTGTAGGCCACTGTTGGTTCTCCTCCGACCTGCATGTAAAGATGGATGTAGCCTCCGTGACTTCACCCATAGGTCGTGGAGCCGTGGAGCCGGGATTCAGTTCGAATCGGGTTTTGCCAAGCATACGCTCACCCACCTGTCACTCAAAGCAGCACGCCCTCATTTATGCAGATCTTTAAGCCTTTATAAAATTTGAATCGGTGAGTTGTATAAAAATTCACCCACCGTACAGTCGTCATGAAGGAGGAAAGAAGCCATTTCTTTCTGCTGGACATTTTAGCATGGGAGTCTATGGGGATTGACTCACTTATGGAGCCAGACTCAAGGGGCCATTTGAAGAACTGTTTTTGGCACTTATGTCTTGGCTTCAATTTTTCAGTCTTGGAGGTTGCCACTTGGTTCTCCTACTCACTTGGAAAGGGGACGGTGAGGGGAGCGGTATTCAGTTGGTTGCAATCTGCAACCTTACCACTAAACACCACTAAATCCTACACACTGGTGATTCAAATTGTGATTTTATTGAGATTAGGTGCAGCTTGGTGGATGACATGGATGCTGAAATATTGTAAGAAAATTTTTTACACTTGAACCCAAAAACATTTAACTGACAAATTTTGGATCTTAATTTGGTGGATAAAATATGAATAGACCTGAGTAAATAAAAAAAATCATTGCAATACATCTGATCTGTATAAGCTGTATGAAGATTTCCAGTGAAACTTTACAATAAATTAGTCAAATTTTGTACTGTTTACACACACACACACACACACACACACACACACACAAACACACATTTGAGTTGAATAGCTTAAAACACATCAGCTTTCTTTGCGTTTAAAGAATGCATGGATACAGGCATGCTTCATTGTTTTTGTCCATGAGATTGTGTCATTTTATTTTTCTCAAAGACTGATCCCATAAATAAAGAAAAAATTATGTTTATTTTAAAGGTTTCTTTGTGTAACTGGTTTTAAGTCGCTGAAAACATTAAAAATTCATAACAAAATAAACAAAAGTCCAAGTAAAAAATATATATTTTAGGAATAGTTATTAAGCATTTTCACAGTCAAAAAGTAAGCTAATCTGTTTCATCAGATGTGCTTTGATCTAATTTGACTGACAGTGACCAAACAACCCACCCAGTGTCATCAGATCCTGATTCAAATGTTGCTGAATCATGATTGGTGTAAAGAAACATGTGACATCACATTCTTCCAATTGATCCAGTGTCTCAAAAAAAAAAGAAAAGAAAGGAAAACAGAAATCTCTTGTGTAACAAGAGACCGTTCAAACTTTGGGTGTAAATAGTGTGCTCGTGTGCAACCACTTCACTCACAGCAAGAAAAAGATTAATGACATAAGTTTTTAGGGCGTTTGAAGGACTAATGTTAAGATATACAGTGTAATAGGCTATATTAATCTGCCAAAGCCTCACACATGTTTTCCCAGTGTACCAGGAAAAGCTATTTGGGGTTCAGAGTGTTGCTCAACAACAGCTTAACATGCGAACAGGAGGACATGAGGATCGAACCGCCAACCTATGAGTCAGCAGAGCAAAATTTTGAAATGTAAAAGCGACATTACACAGGCAGCAAAGCTATGAAAATCGATTAGTAATACGTGTTTGCTTTTAGCAGCAGCTGCATTCATTTTTGTTGATGAAAAAAAACAGTATCATATGTGAAATATAAATTTCAGATTCAATTGCAAGACAAAAGACAGAACATTAACAGGAACACAAGCAAAACAAAACCATGACTACAGGACAATTACAGACGTTCTCTTAGAGAACAAAGAGAAAAGTTGTAGAGTGGTATATTTATTTGATGTGCATGTGTGTGTGTGTGTGTGTGTGGAAAGACTAAAGGGGAGAAGAGAGAGAAAAAGGGGGGCAGCAAGATAAGTAAGTAAGTAAGTAAGTAAATCTAGCTGCTTTAATTATGCTTACTTAATCTGATGTAATTTATTACATTTGACCTCTCCAAGTTAATATTCATCGCAGACAAAATGCTGAATTGAGTTGGTGAGTGTTATTAAATCTCACACCTGTCACCTATCTGACCCGCATTGTCCACAGACACACCAACAGAAGATCCTGCTCGGCCAAGAGATGCTAAACAACAGAATTCATTTTTTTTATTCTATACATGTTTTACCAAAAAGAATACGTTTGGATGTAACCTTTCTCAGTAACTGTAACAGATTACAATTACATTTATTTTGTAATTTAATTACATAATCCCATTGCATGTAATTAGTTACTCCCCAATACTGGAAATAACTATATACTACAACTAATACTATTACTATGACTAATACTAATACTATTACTAGTACAACTACTCCTAAAAAAAAAGGGAGAGTACTGGCAGAACATCCACTCCAGGCCATATGGTAGTGTGACAAAATTTTGTTAAATCAGGATCTAATAGGATGAGGGTGTTTCTAATACTTTCAGTGAATGTCCGTCTGGCTGCAGCTGTTTCTCTGCTCCTGCCCTGGTGGTCCTCTTTCCCGGACAGGCACGAGTTCCCATAGACATATATACAAAGACGCTGCATTGGCCGCTGGATCATATGTCAATGTCGCCGCCATATTGGACCGGATAAGAATGCCCTGTAAACAAGCATGAAGAAACGGAGGGGCAACAGTGTTTTCTGGAAAAAAAAAAGCAGAATAGTTTATATTTCTCAACCGATTTCAATGTGTCCTTTTTATATTTAAGGGGTTTATGATCTACGAGGAGTAAACATAAAAGTTTGGTCACCAGTTACTTAGAATCCTGATAGTTAAGGCTGTAATCAATGTTTTCCACAAGCAGGAGTGTGCATTAACATTAGGTTTGGATGAACTGAATTACTTGTGGAAAATAATTAATTGTCATAGGGAATTGTTCAAACTCACATTGCTTTACTAAATTAAACTAGCCTTCTATTCATAGTACATTTAGTCTTTACTATTAGGCTACTAATCAATTATTATGCTGCTACTAAAATATTTTATTAATGTTACACCTGTTGTATTTGTAGGATATTCATAATAATACGATATACTGCTATATTATGCAGTTGTATATTGTTGTATTACTAATACATCTCACTTTGTACTACATTATACTTATATTCCACATTACACTGTAGCTACTCCATGTTTATAACTTCTTTTTTGTCCCTCAACAAAGCAGTATTTGATCCTTACACTGATTAAAATATAGATTTAAATATAGAAAACAGGCTGACTGCCATATTGTCTCACTATCTTACTTTATTTATATTATTTCATTTATTTTACTCACCAGTTTTAACAGTTCCTTATGACAATTCCTTATCATGGATGTATTAATTGCTACATCCATGTTTCTTATACATATGTCTATGTCAGTTTCAATCAGGGTGTTTCAACTCCAGGCGCTTTCTGATGACGCCATAACCACGAGACGGCGATCGAGGCCCAAACAAACCGTCGTACACAAATGTTGCCGTTAACCATGAATGGATATTTTATGAGGATTAATGCAGTATTTTGAGAGTGACAATGATCTCGGTGAGCTATATTCTGTTGTGCGGACAGTTCCTGCTGCTGCTGACGGTGATTCTGTTACAATGCCTGGAAGGAATTCACTCCCAAAACTCGTCGACAACGGAGACTCCTGCTGCTTCTCCCGGCCAGGGAGCTACCGCGTTCCCGTTCAGCGAGCAGCCGCCCGAAATTGTGAAATATGAAACTACGGTGGAAATGATGAACGATACAGAGGGGTTTGACTATAGACCTCCGTCACCAGTCGTCCTTTGCAGTTATCTGTGAGTAATATGTACAGCAATCTTGTTTGAATGCTAGCGGTAGCATGTTAGCTAATGCTGACTACGCACTGCTGCTGTTTTGAGACTTTGAGTCAAATTCTGCTCACCTGTACATCAGTAAAACTACTCCTACAGCAGTATTTGTTTTTTTTTTTGTTTTTGTTTTGTTTTTTAAATATCTAATATTTATTTAATAAAGTAGTCATAAACTGTTTGGCATGTGTTCACTACAAACCGGAAATCTGAAGTTCCCTGTTGGTTATCAGTCTATATTCCTCACTTTCTATCTTTGTTTATATACATTCAATGTGTGATGAAGACCGGAGGAGTTCATCTACTGTCAAGACCCTGTGGATCATGCAGGCAACCACAGTGCCTACCAGGAGCTGGGCTATGGTTGTGTCGGGGTAAGTGTTGTTTTCCAAGCAGATATCATGTTGTTAATTACATGGCACTTAATTTATTGTTTTTATCTTTAGTGGGGTGGCCAGACTGAGAAAGAAGTGAACCACACTCCTGTCATGTGCACTGCACTGGATGATATAGAGTGTGCTGGATCCAGAGAATTCCTCAGAGGGAGGGTACCCTGCATCAAGTAAGGGAAACCACACTGGACACACAACTGTAGAAATCTATGTATGCCAAAACTGTCACACCAAACTTCCTGTAAAATTTATAAAGTTTGGAATATGGCCCCTTAATCAGCTGAGGTTTCAGTGTACTGCTCAGTTTTCTACCCGTTTCCACTTTTTCATCCATTGGGATTGGAATGGATTTGATTTTTCTTGACTTTAACCTAAAACTACTTTCAGCAAATAGGGGTCAAATTTGAGCAAGCTTGGATTACTTTAGGAAAAGTCAATATGACATGACTTTGAACTATTTAATATGTTAACGGATTTAAAAAATTTAGGCATATTATGGACCAAACAAGTAATCTGTTAATCAGGAAAATAAATGAACGATTCAGTTATAATAGAAAAAATAAAGGTTAGTTGCAGGCCCAATCACAATCTAATCAACCAACTAATCGGAGAGTCTGGTTTGATTCCCAGCTCCTCCCTTACAAAGTTTCCTTGGGCAAGATACTGAACCCCAAACTGCCCCTGATGTATCATTGCTGTGTGAATTTGCGTGTATGGTAGAAAAGCATTGTATATGTAGGAAAACATGCTGTATGAATGTGAGTGGTGAATGTGGCTTCGCTTCCCTGCTGTATAAGTACAGTCCATTTAACATATTGACTGATATGCATTTTTTTGTCTTTACATGAATCATAACAGAAATAAACATTTTGCAGTTGAAAAATAAATTTGTCACAACCTACTGGTAGAGAATGGTGACACAGATCACAACATATCTTTAGCATTTCTGTACTTCAACTTCTAGTCTTTCATTAGCTGACATTTACACTGATACCGATATATCTGCAACGATCTAATGTGGCTGATTAGTATTACCAAAGAGTTTTTTTTGTGACTTTTTTTTTTTCTGGGAAAGCAATCAGAAAATGTATTGAGTGACAAAGTTTTATTTGGGAGGTATGTGCTGGTACTGGCCTGAGTATGAAATAAAGTGCAGTGGTAGACTAGATTTTATGTTGTGTTATGATGTTCAGAAACAGTACAGTACTTGCTCCTGATCCGGTTAATTCAGATAAAAAAGCTGAGGTGTCATGATCACCACTAGAGGGCAATGTTTACAAATGTATAGAACCAGGACATTCACCCATCATTTGTCTGCATAGAGATCAGAGATGTGCAGCAGCTTGAGACAGTGAGAGCAGCATCTGTACAAAAACACTACTGCAATCCAGCACGTGGATTAATGTCATCCATAATGTTCAGTTCCTGCTCACACAGTTTCCACGCATTACATTGCACAGAACAGATGTTATCCTTATTGAGTGTACTGCTATAGCTTCTTTTCAAACCTTGTGTTCATCATTATCATATTTGTATTTTCCTTTATATCTGCACGTCTTTGCATTGTATGATATGTCCATATCTTTACAGTGAACATCTGCAGGTTCAGAAATGAGACAGATGATTGAGGTTCAACGAATTAAATGGTGTTTAAATGTAACATCTCATGTTCATGATTCATTTTAATTGCACAACAGTTCATATTTCATTCCAGCTTTTTTTTTAACTGTCCTCATATACCTTTTGCTGTTGGTTTCTCACAGATACACTGGCCACTACTTCATCACCACACTGCTCTACTCCTTCTTCCTGGGATGTTTCGGGGTCGATCGTTTCTGCCTGGGCCACACCGGCACTGCTGTGGGGAAGCTGCTCACCCTGGGAGGCCTGGGCATCTGGTGGTTTGTGGACTTGATCCTGCTCATCACTGGCGGCCTGATGCCCAGTGATTACAGCAACTGGTGCACCTACTACTGAGACCAACAGCAAAGGGTGACCAAGGACTGTGGCCACTTCTCAGTCAGATATTATCAGTCAATAGGGATGTGGCCTCACCCAGTTGTGGTTATGAATCTGCAGGCTGCCTGAGGGTCTCCTGAGGACCCCTACAGGGTTCTTAGGGGCTCCTGAGAAAAACGAGGAATAATATGATTTGATTTTAATTTAATTCACTTGAAATTTACCACCTTGAAAATTCATAAGAATGGTATACTATACTATACTATACTATGCTATAGTATTCACAGCTTTCAGCAGAGCGACAGTGATGATGGATCTTCTTAGTGTTAAATTGTCACTAAGGTCACTTTCACGCCGCTTGGTTCATTTAGCCCAGACCACAGAAGAAATTAGATATTGTTGCCATTTATTTGTGGTCTGTTTGGTTTCCTCACACTGATTTATTACAAACAAACCAACATAAGTCATATGGACTGACAGGTAACACTGAGTGGGCCGTATTGATGAATGTCATCCGGCATCATCAGTGCTGCATGGGAAAATGAAATCCCAGAAATATGACAGCACATCTTACGTTTGCATTTACTGTGTGGCCACTGTGTTTCACTCATTTTCTGATGAAGAGCTGCCAAAGTACATGGAATAGGACACAGTTCTCCTTTAGCTAATGTATATCACACTCACCAGCTTTTGAATTCATGCTAAAATCACATCTACGTTTGCTACGTTTTCACCCTCCCGTCCACACTACTCCGGCGTTTTCGAGCCCTGAAAATGAGACTTTTGGAAACGCTGCTGGACCTATTTTAGTTTGAAAACTCTGGGGTTGCCTTAACGTCTGGACGGGTGAAAACGGAGACCATTGCAAACACACCCACGGTCACTCCCTGATTGGGTCTTATCAGCCTCGACTACCAGTGGTGAATACAACATAATGAATTACAAGTGTTGCTGACCTTGTTGTCTTTGCTAGCAGCTGTTGAGGAGTTAAATTCTGCATTTTTACCACTGCAGCTGTCTTTGCTGTTCCTCGTTCATAGTACTTTTTGCAACCAATCAACTGCAGAGTATACGATCTGCTTCCTGTTTGCACCAGCTCGTGCAAACCCATTGCTTCAGGTGAGTTAGTCTGGACGGATAGGGTTTCTGTTTGAAAACGCAGTTTTAAAATGAAGACGTAGTAGTGCAGGCTTACTATAACTGCTTCTGAGTGGACTCTTGTCTGCTATGAAAGTAAGATCAACCACAGGGTTTTGTGATAGTAAATACAGCATGTGATTTTAGCAGGAATTCCCACTATTACATTTTTTGCCTGATTGTCATCTGTCATGAAGTTAATCTATATAAGCAGTGAATATATTATATAAGATCATTTCTTCAATTAAAAGTGAGTGAGATATTTGAAACCTAACAGCTGCACACTAACTACCTTTCCATGTTAATGTGTCGCTGCCTTTCTAGTTGTTTGTCACTACGTGAGTCGGAAAAGGTCCGGTTAGTGAACACTGGTAATGAAAATCAGTTTTCTCTCTGAGCTCTTTTTGACACCAAAGAACATAAATGAACACGTGGTTCAGTAAAGTGCCGCATTATTTGTTGTCAGTTTTCCCCACATGGGTCCAACTGTCCAATCACTAAGTTACCACTCAGTTCATGTGACTTCATGGTTACTCCTCTTGGTTTATTTGTAATAAGTGTGAACACGAGCTGAACCAGAACTAACAGACAACAATCTGACTTTTTTTTCTTTTTCATGGTTCAGAGCAAATGATCCGAACTACAGCCATGGAGCATCCTTAAAGTGAAAAGTCAAGCACTTCCAGGTCTGTGGTCCTGGTTTGGGAATTAGCCTTCACATCCTGGGAAGTTTTGGGTTTGATGAATGATAGAAAATCCAATTCAGTCTTGATGCATCACATTTTCTCTTGCGACAGAAATCCTCTTATTTCACATTGTTCACACACTGCAGAGTGATACAGTCTGGTTGACGGTCTCTGTTCACATACATGATTTTGCATATTGATCAAAGAATCCTCAATTGGAGTTCAACTAGATTCAGCCGTTTCCTGAGGGCAGCATCCTACACTGAGTTATTACAAAGTTATCATTCCTTTTCCTTCTTCAGATTACCAACTAGCCCGGCTTCGACCCTTCACTGTCCTCTGCTGCTGGAGGCGTTCTGAATTCTGTATTTTCTCTGCTGCTTCACTTTGTTCCAACTGTGCTTAGATTGATTAACATTACAGCCGCAAGCAAGTATGAACACAGAACTACAGATGGATAGTGATCACATAAGTCACATTGATGAGGTGGTGATTTAGTAGTTGTCAGCATCGGGCTAAGGGAGGTGTTTTGAGACAGGGGCGAGCAGTAAATTCCTTTACCTCGGGTGGAAAAAAAAAAAAAACTACATCTGAGCTATGTGGGCGCGTTTCCCTTCTTTGTATTCCGGTGAGCCCGGCGCCCGACCACATGTCTCAAACTAAAACAAATTCAGATTTTCATTGGCTTTATCCAGCTAAGCTCAGGTCTCGCATTAAATATTCAAATCTTCATCTTCCGCTTTGTTAAATTCCTTGTCTTTACTTGAACTGAAGGTTTATGTGCTCTGTCATAGAGAGAGCAGAGTTTCATTACCTAAGGATTCATAAAAACCCCTTTAGGTCTGGTGATAAAAGGTTAAAGAAGACATGAGAGTCAACTGTTCTCATCCTGCAGTAGCAGCAGCAATATGCTTTTAGCAGGCTATATATTTTCTGGTGGCTCAACATCTTTTGTAGAGGGAAGCATTGAAACACAGCTTTACATATTATTTTTCTGCTAATTCACGAAATGGAAATGTATCTGCTGTCTTACACTCCCGTAACAAACATCCATGTGCAAGGTGTTCTCTTTAATCTGAATGTATTTTTTTTCTTTTGCTGTAATTCTTTCTTCAGCCTAAACCAGAATTGTGCAGAATTGGCCTACAATGACTACATAACACGCTGTGTTAATGCCTGTTTCTAAACTGTAATGTTCTGGCTTTGTAAGATACTGTATATAATATCGATCTGCCACAGCAGAAGCTTGATTTTATATTCTTTAGCTTTAATCCACTGTTCTATTTATTTATTTGTTTTGTATGCTGTTGAGTCAGATGTGTTCCTGGGAGCCGTAGAGGAAATATACTTCTTTGAGTCTATTATGTTTATTTGACAATGTTTGTTTTGCAAAGAAAATTCGTAGTTGACATGTTTCTCCTGGAATAAAAAGAAGGAAGTCTTTGCTGTGCTCTTCAGCTTTTTAATCAAAGCTACACATGTTACAATGGTGAGAAGGAATCCAAAGTGTCTCGTGTATTTATAAGTGTTCACAGTCATTAAATAAAAAGAACCTGGAACAGTGTGTTCTCTGAATTCTCTGATTAGAGGTAATTGGCTGTGGCTGGTGGGTTTGTGGGTAAAATGTCAATGAAAGACTGAAGAATGAAAACTGGCCATATATTGAAGAAAGATTCTGTATATGCACAAAGTTTATGGACCGACATACTGCACTTAGATCTTGCTATAGTCTTGGTTGTTTAAGTTCTCCATGTACACATGAAGTTACCTTAAACTTTGACTTTATGAGTCTCAAATTTGACTCATCAGGTCTATAAAATAACCTTCCTAATCTGTTATGCAGTAACAGTAACAGTGTGTAATGTTTTCTGTAAATGTAAATATGCACAAACCTCATCAGTCTTGAATAGAAACAGTTGGTACTGTGATTGGAATAATAATACAAAGTCCCAGGGGCCGGTTTCACAAAGATCCACTGACTGTATCTAAGACATCTAAATTCATCCGCTGCACAAAGCAGGTGTTGACAGAACAGTAGTTCGACTATCTTAAGCCTGACTGTGGTGCAATGAATTCTGGGTAATTTCAGACCGCATCCAACCACTGAGCTCCATTTACCCGAGCAGAAAATGTTTGTCTTTTGGAACAATTCAACAATTACACGGACGTTTTACTTTGTGAGTTCAGCAAAGAGTGAAACAATGAAAAGCAAAATCTAATTTTGAAAAATATGCTGTCTCTGAAAGCTCTTTCCCTTCTCCTTTCTCTCTCCATGACAATGTTAGCCAACCACAAATTATGAGCCATGTTTTCCTGTTTTTTGTTGTCGGGTGCTGGTGGTCAGCACAGGTGTCATTGATTGTTACCATGGTAACACTGGTCTTAGTCATGAATGAGATCGGGAGTAAGGTGGATTTTTTTGGCTTGAAATTATTCAGTCTTATTGTGAAACAGTCTCACTTGCATTGAACTGATCTGTGAGCAGAATGAAGACACTACAGACCAGTCTGACATATCTTTGTGAAACCAGCCCCAACTCACGTCCTCCAATTATTAAAGTCATTATTAAAAAAGTCACACAGCACTTAACATGTCAACCACACAGTTAACTTTTGCTTTTTACTCACCGCTAATTGTATTTAACAATGCAGATAGTTAAGTGTCTAAATTCACACACTTATACCCACACTTGCTATTTTTGAGTGCTTAAGTGCATTCACATTGACAAGTATGGCAACAGGCAGTGCACTTTAAGCTCCTGGATGATCACTCAAAACTGTCAAAAAGTTGTGTGTAAAACAATGGACACTTCTCACCCTCAACGCACGCCATCTTGGCTACGTAGCAGAAGGGGAGGGGCCATCAATGTATTTTCAAACTTGTGAAAATGGCGACTGAAGAAGGACACGTTGTTGGCCCTGATGTCGCATGACACAGGAGGCACACACAGGAATATATATATATACATATAATAACACAAAATTAGATATTACTGGAGGGGTGAAACATATGCAAACTATAGTACGTCAAATGTGCTAACATAATGACACAAGCAGGCAATGAGAAAAAAATTACATAATAATAATAACAATAACGATATCAGACACCAAAAACAAAGTTTATTTTGAAGTAAAGCTAACAAAGACACCCGCACGGTGGGTGACAATCGTATCACCTGTTGCGATTGTCATTTCCATTGAGTGCACAAAGGTGTGGTTTTTCATTTGGGGCAACACTACTTGTTGTTGAAATTCACACACTACGCCAGTGAGTATACTGTGTACACAATGTACTACAGGTGACTACTGACTGAAGTATCAGCATTGGTTTTGTTTGTACCTCTGGCTTTTGTAATTCCACCCCAATACTGAGAAACTGAGCTTAAACATTAAACTACACCATCTCCTTCCAGGAACAACAGGCCTCATGCAAGAACCACTCAGATTTGGCTTTCATTGGCACGTACGAATGACTTAAGACAATTTGTACGAACTAAAATTCACGAGTGGTCCAGACCTGTTGAGTCATGAACAGAGAGACTGGCCCTTTTCACAGGGTGAAACACTCATCTGACCTGCAATCATAATGCCTTAAGATGAATTCATTAAAAAGTCAAATATTATATAAGACCAAATTATTGCAAAATTTATATTCTGTTCACGATATCATCATCACCATGTCTCGCCAATATACTGAGGTTCTTGAGGTCATTTTTGGCATATATCTTAATACAGAAACTCATCCATGTCAGTGGTTTCTGAGAGAATCCTCTCACTGCCTCAGGGTCTTTAAGCAACCTTTTAACCAGCAGTTTATGACGTAACCACCAGACTGTACAATGTATCCCTGGAGTTATTTTGTACAAATGATGCAGTTTATTAACACACACCTGCTTTATCTAATTTTATTTCCGTCATTAGTTTCCTTCATTTCCTTTCTAAAAACACAGGGTGTATGTATGGGTATTGTAAAATAGCTGAATAGTAGTTTGTGATCACTGGGGTGGTCGCCTTTGTCAGTCAGAACATAATGTGTCTTGTTGTTCTGTATGTATCTTTACCTGTGATGATTTCCTCCTCTGTGATTGGTCACATTTGCTTAAAAGGGCGGCCCTTCATTATTAATTCTGAGGAACTGACTAAGTGAGGTGTTTACATCTTGATGTTTAAGATCACTGAAACACTTCCTGGTGTTCAGTCTCCTTTGAACTCTTGTAACCATAAGATAGATCCACAGGTGTTTTTTTTTTACCAGTTCAGTCATACACTGTATTAAAGTACATGTCTTTTTTTTGTTTTTAAAGCCGTTGATTTCAGTCCGTCTCCTCAGGAGTGACAGTTAGTGTAACGTCCCTCGTCTTTCGTCTCACCACCACTGAAAGCACGGCGCTGCTCTGGACGGCTTGGCTCACTTCCTGCGTTGTGTGAACGGGCTGCCCGTTGATGCCAACGATGACGTCGTGATTTATCATGCCAGCGCTGCAGAGAAAACAACGCCATACCTGAGTCACAAAGTAAGCCTTACTAAAACAGACCCAACCCAGCTGGGTAGGTATATACCCTAAGGAAAACAACAATGACCTTTAGACAAGTCTGTTCCTGTGTCAGGCTCCTTCCCCCTTAAAAGACAAAGTAAATAAACGGTGAGGTGAGGGCTTTATGATGCAAGCCACTGCATGACATTTAAATTTGAGGCAATTGCTTTCACTCATGGTTTTATGCAGACTGATTGACAAAGCGCGCAAGACTGTAGAGTAAGATTAAAGATTACATTCAGACAATAGCGAGGAGTACTATAGCAAACAATTCAGCACTGTCATTATAGACTGCTGCTGCATGCTGTTCAAAGCTTCAGGCTTCAATGTTACATGAGGCGGCGCTGGACTACTTAGAATGTTGAGAGTCTAAAGAGTCGTCTTTCTCTTGGTCTTCACCAAGATGTGAAAGCTTTGCCCGTGGGAAGCGCAGTTATAATGAGCAACCAGACCACGGTTGCACAGCGCAGCCTTGAGAAATGCAGGGATGATCTTATTCCGGAGGCCTCCACCTGCCAGTTCACTGCACAGCTGTTGCATTTTGTAAAACCTAGTGCCTCTTACTGTACATCATACAGGTTATATCCACTAACTCACTGGTGTGGTGTCTTACTTTGAAACTCACACCAATGGGAACAAAACATATATTTAATCTTTTAACAAGGTAAGAACATTTTAGATTGACATTGGTGGATAATTACATGCGTGCCAGTTTGGGTTGGACTTTTTTTTAAGGCTAAAAATGATGCTGCAAAAGAAATATGAGAACCTGATCAGATTCATTTTTCACTCAATATTCCTCCTGGGGCAGGAAAGTCTCTGCAACACTATATGTAGAACATAGACTACTTAAATCCAGTGTAAAAATTACATTAAAGCTGCACTAGTTAATATTTTTTATTGATGGATCAAATGAATAATTTGCAACGTGAAAGCCGTTGCTCTTAGTAATGAACCCACATTGCTCTGCTCTTCCCATTCATCAGACACAACTCCAGCTAAATGCTAATGCTACTTCTTTTTTTTCGGCAATCGTTTGCTAACACTTTCACAATAACAACTTTTTAAGACATCAGTCTTTTCAGCCTTTTACGCTGCCACCAAGTGGCCAACTGGTGAAAACTATTTGGCTTTTCAGCTGCTAAATGCTCTCACTGTGTTTATCAGATAGCTGTTAGCTGGACTACCAGACTGAAGAACAGTTTCGTTCCCTGGGCTATCACAACTCTAAATTCCATTAATGTATATATTGATATGAGGATTGCTGTCATCTGCTGAGCTATTTTAAGTATCGCTATTTTAATATTCACTGTAAATAATAGCTTACTCAGCAAAGCACTTTTCTATTTCTTTTAAAGTATTTATTGTATTTTAAATGCAATATTCTTTTTAATTGCAATATTCTTTTTTTGTCCCTCCAAACTTGTGTTTCTGTTTGCACTGATCAGGAGTAGCACTTCATAATTTCGTTGTCATATTTTGATAGACAAAAAAAGGGTTTACATTTCTATTTCTATTTTGTCTGACTGCTACTTGGTACTGGGCAGTCAGTCAGGCAAACATGTTATGTTTTACCCTACTTGTGAAATTGCGAGCTGAATTGCACACCTCATAGTATTAGAGACCAGGTATTCACTCTTACCTGGATGCAGCTCCTCCAGGTATTACCTCATAAACATAAACTCCTGAGCCCACGTCTGGAAATTCACCCTCGCGCTCCCTGAGATCTTGGATCAAACTGGACATAAAGTGGACATGAAGATGGGGAAGAGAAACTTGAAACAGTCTTTTCCAACTAAAATTAGATTATAATTATGTTCAACAAGACACGTGCCAAATGAAAAATCACTCAGCCATATATTGTATGTATTGCGATTGTATTGCTTACATGGTTCCTAATTTTAAAAGCATTTCAGATTGCAGTTTACGTCTATAAAGCGTCACAACATGTGTGATAATCATTATTAGAAAGGTACTGTATGTAACATATTACACACCACATGCATGTGTAACTGTAGGACTGAGAATAATAAGTGGAATGTAATTTTCTGATTAGCCCACACTGTGCATCATGTGCAAAGTTTCTTTAAACTTCTAAAAGGGATAATGTTGTATATTGCAAAGCATCACAGGCTTCAGAAAGTATTCAGACCGCTTCACTTTTTGCACTTTATTGTGTTGTCGATTTCATTTTTAATGAATCTATGAATGGATGCCATCTTGGAGTCTGGCGTCCAGTTGTTACAATGCATCCTTGGTACTGCCTCACAGAGCTGCTAGAGATGTCTTCCTAAAATGAACATGAGGTATTTTGGAAATGAGGAAATGAGTTACATTGATGTTTACTCACGATGGTGAGAGCTGCAGCATCCGGACGCCTATGTATTTCTTTTTTTCCTGCGCATTTCCTAAAACCAAACCAATGAACAAATTAATAAATGATTGACTGAAAAAATGATTGAGATTATAGAGTCAGCAACGCCAACATAAGGTCCTGCTCACCATTGACTTGTCTGCTGTGGGATTCAGCGAGGAACTGGTGTATTTTGTCCGCAGGAATGGCAAAAGAGATTCCTGCTGCCACTTTCAGAGTGTTTATGCCTATTACATCTCCATCCTGTTAAACACAGAGAGGAAAGACAGCCATGAGATTGCCATCTTAAGTGTTTCATTGATTTCATAGCTTCACTACGTGGAGAAAGAGAACAGCAGTGAGACCGTCTCTTTCTCTCCTAATTCACATAACATCTATTAAAGTTTTGGTTATTGTAGCAACTTGTGTGTGTTTTTACAATGAAGAACATTTATAAAATGTACCATCCACATGGAAACTCTTCTCCTGTGGCAAGAACATTTTTGGGGAAAGGAAGCTGGAGGCATCAACCTTGATAAATAAATGTACAATGTGTATGACTTTATTCCACAATAACAATGCAGAGGCCTCCATAATCAGGTCCTGTCCTAAAATACTGTGAGGGAGGCTTAAACTTGATCCTGAGGAGGCAGCCTGGAGGCTTTGGGTATTAAATAAAACAAAATCACGACCTTAGTCCTCACTGTCATAAATAAAACAAGAAAGATCGCCTGTATAGAAGAAAGCATAACAAATATGCAAATGGAATGATATTATCTCTTTACACATGATACAGCACTAGAAATCCTCTTACCAAGTTGACAAGTGGTCCGCCGGAGTTGCCGTACTGTGAATCAGCACAGAAACAAAAACATGTTCTTACTCATTGTTAATTTAGAGCAAAAGGCTGGCTATAAATAGTTCAAATGCAGAACCAAGAAAGGTTTTTTTTTTTTTTTTTGTCACTGACATTAATCATGGCGTCAGTTTGAATGTAGTCCATGTTAGAGTCCTGGAAGCCCAGCTCCCGGCCGTTGCGCTGGACTGTGCTGATAATGCCGGTGGTGACGGTGCTCTGCAGGGAGAAAGGGCTTCCCACCGCCACCACAAACTCGCCGGGACGCAGGTCTGAGGACTGGCCGAGACGCAGCACAGGCAGGGGAGTCTGCACCGAGACGAAAAAGACAGGACGACCCACAGAGAAGGATTAGAATAAACATTAACACATGCTGGGAGAAATGAGGTCAATATCTCTTTCATTAGCTGACCCCGGGTTTGTAAGTTTATTTAAAAACAGCAGGATAACTAGCCTCTCTAGACCAAGTAACTATGGGTTGGTATAGATTGTATACAAGCTGACCCGAGGCTTGATAGTCGCTAAGACAGAACTAAGGAATTACAGAGGGCTTCTGATGAAGAAAGCTGACTTTTATGATATGCACACATTTTGTTCAATATAATATAATCTACACATATCGACATGAGTCAATAGATAGGAGCCCTGTTTACAGCTTTATGATCTTCCTGCAGGAATAATGTCAGATACAGTGCAGCAATATAATCATCAACAATTCAAGGAATGTTGAGATCAATCAAATATATTAGTTCAGCCTAAAAAAGAAGTGCTGATTAGCAAATGTCATAAACCTAGATGGTGAACATGGTACACATTATAACATACCATCAGCATGTTAGTATTGTCATTGTGAGGAAGTTAGCATGTTTGCATTAACATTTGATTCAAAGCACCACTTTGCCTAAGTACAGCCTGACAGAGCTGCTAGCATGTCTATAGACTGTAGCATGTCTGGGATGGCTGTGGCTCAGGAGGTAGAGCGGGTCGATCCCAGTCCACATTTCAAAGTGTCCTCGGCCAAGACACTGAACCGCTGATGTATCCTCGGCGTGAGAATGTGTGTGTAGAAAAGACTGTGTGGGCAGAAAAGACTGTGTGGGTAGAAGAAAGAAAGGAAAGAAAAGTGCTATATGAATGTGTGTGTGAGTGTAAAGCACTTTGAGGTGCTGTTAAGACGAGAAGAGTGCTGCATAAATGCTGTCCATTTACCATTTAGAAAACAATGACTGCATACGTTGTTTGATGACATGCTGAAAATAACTTTGTTGTTGAAGACCATGTGATACAGTGAAAACTCTGGAAAAAGCTAGAAACTGGACCTTGTGGACTTTAGAAACTATTCTTTCTAGGGCAAACAATTCTTAACTTTTAAGCCAAAATGTCCTATAAGTACACTGAAATCATAGCTGCATACCAACATCCATCTCCATGACAACTGTGCAAACTGGCCATGTGATGTGGTTGAAAGCTCTGGAAAGAGACCTTGGCTTCTTTTGTAAAAACACAAATGTTTTCCTGACAAGCAAACTCTGCTTGTGTGAATGAGGACTGTCTGTGCTCACGTTATTATACACCATTAAACCTCTTTGAGGATATTGGATGGTTACAAAGTGTCTGACCTTTGGTAGGAGATGGGTCTTACAGACTACTGTATGACACTTGATTCTGGCAGCCTTTCTTATCATTTATATAAAGCCCACTGAGATGTAATCAAGTTACGAAGCCATGACTGGAGTCTTTGGCTCAGCTGTCTGGAGGAGACCAAGTCCCTGGCGTGATCCAGCTGCTGCTTTATAAAACACCTGATGATTGACTCGTTCATGATATAACTGGTTTAATTTTCATTTGAGTATCCTAAAGTCTCTTACAAGGAGCTTAAAGAAACCTGTACCTTTAGGTTGTCACTCATTTTATATGTAAAACCTGACAGACTGCTTTTGAGATTTTTCTACTTTCTCACTTTCTACATCTCATATTACCTGCTTCTTATAATATTACCCAAGCAGCAACCTCCTAGGCTGAAAAATTAAGCCAACACGGAAGTGCAAATAACCGCAGTTCCTCTAATGATCACTAGAGGCTGGCTTCAACAGTGATCTCCATAGACTCCCATGTTAAAATGTCCTACTTTACACCAGAAATAAATATGTTTACAACCTGGTACAGGCAACAGTTTTAGTCTCTACGGCTAATTTCCTCCTTCATGACAACTGTATGGGGGTAAAATTTTATATAACTCTTCTGTTTACATTTTATTAAGGCTTAAAGTTCTCCATAATTGAGAGTGTGGCCCCTTTGAGTGACAGCTGAGTGAGCATATCCGCCACAAACCGCCATTCAGTGAAGTCTCAGCTCCACACGCCCCACCTCTTTGCTCATTTTTGGATTAGCTGGGAATTAGGGGCGGATACAGGCACTGCCAGGATGGCGATAGCGAGGCAGTTCACTCAGAGCTTCATAACTGCTCTTCAGAAACCTGTGGGTGACATCACAGAGGCTACGTCCATCTTTATTGACAGTCAAGGATATTACATTTTTCTTATAAATTTTAAACTTGATCCTCAAAATATTATCACTTTATTCTTAAAATCTCTTTTTTTTTCTAATGTGGCCATAGTACTCTACTGTAAGGTTTACTTCCATCAATAAAATTATCACTGCCAACAACTCTGCCTCTCAGAAATGACTGTGAAAATTAACTGTCAGTTAGTTTCTCCCATAACAGGAAGTATCCTTATGAGCCTGACCATTTTCCTGAATCTTATATAATTTTCGAGTAAGTCTTTAGTTATTAACAATTTGATCAACATCATTAATAGGTACCTAAAGTCACTAAGTTAACGCCTTGCTCTTGATTTCTCTGGTATCATAATTTCCTACACTGGAAATGAGGGTTTGTTTCTTTTATAAGCTTCTAATCTATGTGACATTAACATGGAGGATATGGTGAGTATAAACCAAACTAAACTAAGCCTTAGCTTGTCTCTGCCTGCCTTCTCTTATTCCAGGCTGAGGCCATTTATCTCTGGGGTGGTTTGTAATGCTCAGCTGAATTTATAGCCACATCTCCCGGGGCATGGAGCCTTATGTCACGACAAATTTGCCTTTTAGGTAAGTTTTACAACTCCTTCTACAAGGAATGTAATATAGAGAGATATAGCATTGTACAGCTGTCCCCACCTCTCAGTAGTTTAAAGACAGATCTCTTCACCTTTACATCAGTCAAATACAGAGACTTGTCTCTGTATCTCATTTACTCCCATTCAAGCGCAGTTGATGTGATCTTGAGGTATTCTTGTATTCAGATCAGTACTAAAAAATGTTAATCATGCTTCATGCCGAGTGGAGTCTCACTGAAATGGTTTGGGAGCAGAGTCCCCTCTACGAAGCAGCTGGTTGTGTGAGAGCATGTCTGAGCTGACATGTTTTATTTAGAACAGCACTTGCAAATATATAAAAAAAATTGCTTAAGCTTTGAATTTACAAGACATGACCAAATACCACCCAGAGGAAAACAGATGACGAACTGCCCATGTAAAGAAATTGAGTCTAATTTTGCGGGCAAAGGCCCCTGATGACTTTCTCCCTCAAATTTCCCCATCGCCCCACTATGTGTGCAAGATTAATACTCTTTGATGTTGGCCACTGATGATTAGCTGGCAGGCCAGAGGAAAGCACAGGAATGAATTTAGTCTAAGACCCTTGGGAAGCTGATGGGAAACAATGAGCACTCACATCTGGTTCGATCTTGATAAGTGCGATGTCCATCTTCTGGTCCATGTCCTTGACTACAGCGTTGTATTGGATACCACTTCTCAGCTCCACTTTTATCCTCTGCTTGTTGGTGAGCACGTGTGCGTTGGTGATGATCCAGCCATCCTCTGACACTACAAACCCAGAGCCACTTGACACGGAGAGCTCATCGCTAGAAAATGGCACTCTGGCATGAGAAAAGGCAAAAGATGATTGCACCTGCAGGAACACGATCGTTGACAACGACCCTTTTCATTTTCTTTCTTCACGTAGTTTTACCTTTGGAAAAGCTCCAGATGAACAACAGCAGGCATAATCTTGTCCACTACATCTGCAATGAAGTTAAACTTGTAGCGCATACTTCCTGGATGTTGCATTCCTTTGAGGATAAAAGATATTAGATGAAAGATTAAGACAGTTTATACAATCAGAAAACACTAGCAGGGATGTCAGTGTTGGTGTATAACTCAACAATTATGTATTACCATGGAAGTTTATACAAACACTCATGGTCTCCAGAGCTCCTGCTGACTTGTTGGTTGTTAATCACAATGCGCCCAAAATAATTTTTACCTGCTTAATAGAAAGTAGCCCAATTATGCAGAAAGCCATCCTATCTGACAACATGAGTTTGACTATGGTGTTTTGTAAGTTTCTATTTTAAAATAAAACTTTACAGATTTAGAGGATAGTCATGCTAGTGGCTCTTGAAAGCTGTTGTTAAGATAAATACTTCAGAATACTAACATGCATGTTAACCATCTTAGCTTAGCGTGTCAGCATGCTAACATTTGCTAATTAGATGAGACTGATGGGAGTTTCATTATTTTTGCAGGTATTTTGTCATGAACCAAAGTAAAATTTTACCTGATGTACACTAGATGAAAATCAGTTTAACCTGAGAGGAACATGAATGTTTGGACCAAATTTCATGGTAATCCATCCAATAGTTGTTGAGACATTTTGTTACGCAGCCTTTTGGATCTGGTTTATATGATTACAAACCCATGTGAGCTGAGCATAATTGTACATACTCATAAAAACATCATACATTTATTTATTTATACATACTGTTGGAAGGATTAGAAAAAAATGGTACAGATGTTTACTGTCCCCAGACTATGATGACTTAATGACTTGATCTGATCATTCATCTAGTGCCACCAGCAGGTTGCTGATGTTAGCATTTAGCTTACAGCACTGCTGGCATACAGCCTCAATGCCTTCATGGCTACAATGAGATCTTAAAGGGGAACAGCACAGATTGTACTCATCAAAAAACTTCATAAAATGTCATTGGAGTATACTGTATACTGCAAAAAAGTTGTATTGTTATGTCTAGGGGGAGCTCTGTCCTCAAGTGATGTCACTTGAGTCAGCATTCTTTGAGGCTGAAAGCTTCAAATTTGAAAATGAAAACGATCTGGGAGTGTGCAGGGAAAGGAAGAAGAAAGAGTTAGAGAGCTGAGCAACCCACTCTTCATCTCTGCTTGGAGCTAGTGACTCAGGGCTACATTAGCTGCAAATAGCATTACACACACACACAAGCTGTTTCCCAATTCAGGGGCTGCATCCATCAGAGCCTGCATTTGAAGACTGACTGCATCGCAGTGGTGTTACCAGTCTGTCCCATTTCCAAGGCTCCTTCAAATGTGGCCTTCTTTTCATGGGCTCCAATGGGTGGCTCCATCTTGTCCCAACCTATCCCAAGATTCATTACACGCCGGTAATGAAAATAATAATGCAGCAAACAACACCGACAGAGAGCCTGAGGTTTATTCTTTTAAATGTAAGTATTGGGTTTCAGCTCAGTTCAACGGCTAACAACTGTTAAAACCCAAGGGCCTTAAAACCGCCAGTTTTTGTAAAAAAAAAAGTTACATGTCAAGGTTGTCAAGGGTTGCTACATGGCAAGAGCAGTGCTATGCGAAACAACGGTAAGGGCGGATACAGCTGAAGACACAATGCAAAAATTCTCTGTAGGCCAGACCGTCTCATTTCAGTTTGACCTTTGTGGTCTACGACAGTTGCAAAGTGCCACACCTTCACAGACCATGTGCCCTGAATCTGAGCTGCATTGTGGGTAAATGTGCCAGGTTTTTTCAAGGAGGATGTATGCGTGGAGTAAAAAAAAATATGATCTCTGTTTTTGAAACTTTTAAACTGTCCATCGTGAGTGCAATGCTGAGTCAGTGTACTCTGTTGTCAGTTTGCCAGTCATTACCCCTCCCTGTCTGTTCACAGCCTCTCTGCCCTGCAGTTGTCCTCAGAGTTTCCCATCTTCAGCAATTACTCCCACCTGCACATCTGTTCTCAATCTCCTAATCAGCTCCTCAGCATATGTACCAGCCACTGTCCCTCAGATCCTCCAAGCTCCCTGTAACGCACATCGTGATTGTCCGTCATACCAACAGCTGCTTTCTGGTCCTCCTCCTACTCGTTCCTGTTTAATCTCTTCATTCTCCTTAATATCTACACCTAAAATGTTACTTATCTTCGGCTACTCACTGTGTGCTAACTAATTAGCATCCGTACAGCTGGTGGTGGTGAAGTGCACCACAAAACACCCGATAAAATCCTTCAAAACAAACCCTCTAAGGTGATCACAAGTGTATCTCCACACTGCAGCGTGTGCAGGCCACCACAATCTTCCACTAATTCTTCAAGATGTCTCATTCCAATAAATCTACTACTACTATCTACTATCTATCTAGAGTTCGGCCAGTTACTGAAAACTTCAACCTCAACAAGACCCCTGAATATCAGGTCATTATCTACAAATGCTTTTCAGATAAATCAGGATATGATTGGTTTATGTCAAACATAACCACAACCAAATGTTTTCTTACCACTAAATGAAGCTTCCCCATCTGAGTATCCCAACGCCCATGTTGCTCTGGCTACTAAAGAATGTGGGGGTGTTGCCGTAATCTACAAGTCTATTTTCAATGTAACCTTCAAACTGGATGTTATTTTTAACAAGAGTTAAAAGAGTTAAAAGAGTCTGAATTCTACAATGACAGTTGGGGAGGTAGATTTTTTCTCAGGGGTGAAAATGAACCCAGTACAGTGTAGTCGTGTGCTTCAGTGAACTAACAGTCCTTACAGTATCTTGCTTGTTTAACTAAAGCTTTCAAATAAATGTAGTGCATGATAGGGATAGGGATATTGTTATGAGTCATACAAGTACAGTAAGTGCAGGAGTGGATACTCTATTTTCCTTTGCCAGTGTCTTTTGAGTTTGAGGAAGTTGTAGCCTATGAGCGAGGTGACTTCGACTGATTACCAGATATGAAAAATCTACTTTAACTAAGCAACTACACTTTCATATGACTCACACACATCGCATCCATTCCCAGATCACAACCTTCTCAAATTTGAAGTGATACTAGCCTGTCTTTGTAATGTTGCTGCTGATGTATTTACCTCAACACCCAAGGGTCCGTCAAATTTAACTGCTCCTGTTGAGTGATTACAGGTGGCCTGGCTCCTATAACTGTAGCGACAGACCCTGACCCTGAAAATTGTACCAGTGTACAGTGTACAGTTCTAGTCTCTTCGATTCAGTTGCACCTCTAACTTGACAGTCAAAGAGGTCGACACTTTGGTTGCGTGAAGAAACACGTGCCCTGAAGCACGCCTGCGGGAGCGCCACTCTAAACTGGCAGTATTCTACCTCCATTGGTACGAGTGTGTTCTGAATTACAGGCACGCTCTGCCCGCAGCTTGAGCAGTATATTTCTCCTGCTCTCCACTCTCCCCTGCCAACCAGATTACTGTAAACTTTCTGATAACCGCTGCTTCACTCGTCCATGCTGTGTGCCTCTCCCTCTCCCGCATAGTGTTTGTTTGCTGAGGGAGTGGGGAGAGTGTCGGTGAGAGGATGTGCATCTTCTCTGAAAGTTTGGCTTTGTGTGTAATTCTCACTGGTGACTCTCACAGTGTCTCACTGGTCACACAAGTTTTCTTAAGCACTCCAGGTGTCCCGTGGTGGCTGATCGTGGCTTTATGCGGCAGCATCCAGCGCTTGGTTTGGTATCATGGCTGGTGTTAACGATGGGTCTGAGGTTTTAGCATGGTATCAAATTACCGGTCAGCGTGGAATACTCGGCAGAGGAGTGTAGTTTGGTGATAGGGGGTTGTTGTTGGATACGAAAGTTTATGGAGACTGTCCCCATGTAAAAAGGTGTGTGGTAGGTAGGTGGTTTGTGCAGCAGGTTATTATAACCCATGGTTATGTTTTGTTGATAGGCAACATCTAGTGGTCGCTGTAATTATGACAGGAGCAAAGGGAAAAGTGCGGTGACGTGGTATAAAGAGAGACAAAGTCCACGTCAGCAGGAGGTTGTGGTGGATGGATGGGTCAACAAAACACAGGAATACGACACAGGAGAGTATGATACCCAAGTAAAACTATTCGTTTTCTGTTGTTTCTATTATCCCTGACCGTTTAACAAAGTGAACCACATTACTATTATTGTAACCATGACAACAAAGATTGTCTAATGTTGAGGTAGTCCTTATTTTAACCCAAATCACCATCTTTTCCTAAACCTAACCAAACCATGGCTGTTATTATAGTAACCATGGTGACAAAGGTAGATACACCGCTAACGGTACAGTCCGCATGTTTATTATTGTAACCATGACAACCAAGGTCCGGAACGGCTGCTGCCATAGGGGCACTATTTCAGGAGACACTTCTATGAGTTGTATCAGAGGGTTGAGAAAAACGACCTGTGTGGTTGTTCAGGTTGGAGGACTGGTTGGATTAACAGTGCAGATTTGACTGACAAAGTGAGTGGTGTTGTTAGGGTATTTCTGAGAAACACTTATGTAAACAGTTTTCTCTTTGTTAATCCAGCAAAAAAAAAACGTCTAATTTACAACCATTTATCAGCCGGTGAGCAAAA